AAGCCTTCGAAAGAACTGGAAAGTAATTTAGGCTGCTTAAAAAAAACAGAAAGGAGTTCCAGTGGCCTCAGCAAGTTGCTCAGGTTGATGTGAGCCAGTTTGTCATTTACAGGTTAGGATGTGAGTGAATCTTACAGCTCTTCATTCACATTAACACTTCACCTGCCTTGGCCACAGAGAACTAGAATTAACTGCATCTTTATTCCAGCAATGGACAAGATCGATTGCTTGCTTTCTCTGTTTAACAAACAAGCTGGTTACTGCATAGACACATGTGTTAGTTTTACAGTTACTCTGGAGCTCCTGCTTTTTACAGGGCTTGTGGATGAAAAATCAGACTGAGAAAGAGGGTGTATTGTATATTTTCTTGGCTTGATGGGTGAAACGCCTCGTTTCATGCTAGACCTGGAAATAATTGTGAACGTGCTACAATTATTTTAAAACATAGCCAGTAACGCGTGTGATTAAATTCAAGTACATCAGTACAGACTGGACCACATCAAAATGCTGTGAATGCTGGGGTTGGGATAAAAAATATCCAAGCTATAGTTTCAACCAGCAGGATGGGCATCCTGTTTCTGAGACATCAATTGGGTGTGATTAATGATGGTCCAGCAGAATCTGAAGGCTCAACAATTTCTGAAGATATGGAAACATTCCACTGTGATCAATTAAGCAGGTGATTTGTTAATTCAGCAATCTTTTAGGAGAGAAATCTAAGGACTCATAGGCCCTCGAAAACCATTTCTTTGAATTGAAAAGCATTACTTACTTGGTTCATGAATAGCTTACAGGTGTTGTCAATCTTTAAACCTTTAGGTACCAACCTTTAAACCTTTAAACCCTTTGATTCAAATCTCATAGGACTTTAAAAGACTTACTGTAGGACCGATAGACCTATAAGGACAAGGGTTGGAGATTCCTGCTGTACACCAGTCCGGATAAAACTTCAACAAGTTGTTTCTGTAATTTAAACAACGCAAACCTGCTACATCTGACTCATTAGACTGCATATCATTTAGCACCCTCAGTTTCATACAAGATACCAGGCGGAGATGAGATGCGATGTGTTAAAAAGGGCATTTTAAAGTTTATTTGATGGGCTCTGCCTCTTAAACAATTCTTATTTTATGTGCCTTTACTGTGCCAAACTCCACATATATACTGTAGCTCACCACGCGCGGTGAAAAAAATATTTGGGAGTTTTTAGATTTTTAAAAGTAGATACCATCCCCACATCGCGTCTTTTGGATTTAGTGATTGCGAGGACATTTTTGTGTGTGTGTGTGCAGATTCTGCCGCCCTCATTGATAGTAATGCATAAATACACACAGCTGAGCGCAGGCTCGACTTGTGTCAAATTAGCCTGCTGTAGCGTGATGCGATCTGATACAATTAGCAACAGCAGAATTGAGACCCGCTGGTTTTGAACGATGACACGATCTGTAACTACACCCGTGTCAAGTGCAATCGGCGCGGCCCCGCTGAGACTTGGGAGTGGCTGTCCGGCAGCTTGACTTGGTGGACCGTCCTGTCTGAGGTCACGCAGCCCAGCCGAGCTCAAAATCTCAGGGCCAGCAGCAGCAGTAGTGGGATGCACACAGCAAACCGCAAACTTGCTTCATAAATATTTAGTGCTTCGTTTACCGCAATGAAAGGAGAAATGCATGCTCCCAATCGCCGTCCCATTCTTCACAGGGATGAGGAAATGGGGAAAACAGAAATAAAAGTTTCGATTGGCAACCGTTAGCCTCCCACGTGAAGACAGCACTGCGCGCTTTCCCTCGGTGCTGAAAACGGAAGGAACCGCGGTGGGCAAGAGTGGAAGTCGTTCCAGTACCTCAGCAGCGAGGTAAAACAACATGTGACAGTTCCATATAGGGAATATGGAGCGAGCTTTACTGTAATGCCCCAAGGCATGGCTTCTAGACAATATATACCTCGTACCAAGTCGAGCGCTCTCTCAGTCGAGCTGGGTGCGCGCCGTCTCCTCGTCACAGCCGCGCCGCAGACACACAGCCGGGCTGGCGAGCGGGCACGCCGACCGCGGGTCCGAATGACACCTTCCGCTAGGCAAGTTACCTGATAGCGCGCTTTGCTCGCCTTAGCAACAAGAATCCTTACCAATTCTACTACTACTACTGCTGCTGTCGTTGTTGTTGTTGTTGTTGTTATTATTATTATTATTATTATTAGGATGCATGAAGTATTATTGTTTGCTACATTTCAATGAATAGGTTATTGTGTGTCGGATATTCATAATATTTATTTAACGTTACAGTTAAACCTTTTATTGTTACCTCTGACGTTAGAAGAGGCGAAGGCTTAATGCTTTGCTAGCGAGCCGGTGCATGCGACAGGAAAATCGGGATATGGGCATTCTCTTCGTTTTGAGAAACGGGAGCAAAAAGTAATAAGCAATCAGACGCCCGCGCAATTATGTGATTTAATGAGGAATATAACAGTGTATTTTCTCTGAACTCTCTTTAATGTCACTGACTGTCACTAAAAACAAAAAGTTCTCCTAGGTTTGGCAGCCAGCAGTTCGGATTGTTACATAAATTTACCTTTGTATGATTCATTATAACTCCTCTGGACTGCGTATTAGTAGGTCGTGCGTGCTTATAGAGTAAGCTGTACAGATATAGGCTTGTATAAAAACATTATCATTGATTTTGTTGTTGTTGTAGTTTTGGTTAATCTTTTGTACAGAAACTATTATATAGTGTTCTCTTTATTACGAGAAAAATGACAATACATTTGAGCTTTTAGTGGCAAAAAACATTCCATTTTCTTCGTAGAAATCCGTTTCCTAAATATATTAAACAGCTAGCCCGTAAACTTTCTCGTTTTATCTTTTTTTATCAGCAGTGGATGTGCGTTTTAGAGTCAAGACTACCCGAGTATGGTACTTTGGAAAAAAGTTCTTTTAATTAGGGGGTCACGCTCTCCTAAGAGAGGGGCGTTAAACAATTAATAAAGCACAATTAATTAATAAATGACATCTGTCAAACAAGATATTAAACTGTATTCATATAT